ATAAACCTGTTTAACTCCCACCACAATCAAAATACAGAAAATTTTCATCAACTAAAAAGTTCCCTTGTGCTCCTTTTCCATGAGCCTTTGCCCCTAGCCGCAGGCAACAACTGAGTTTCATATGCTCATTTGAATTTATTTATTTATTTGTCCTGGGATGGTCTTCTTTTCACATCCTTTGCTCAAACTAGTTTACAATTTCACAAACAGTGAATTGCATTGAGGCAGGGTCTCACTATGGTTGCCCAGGCTGGTGTTAAACTCTTGGGCTCAAGGGATCCACCTGCCTCAACCTACCTACATAGATGGGACTATGGGAATAGACCACCATGCCCAGCTTGCCATTTTCTTTTTTCTTTTTCTTTTCTTTTCTTTTTTTTTTTTTTTGAGTTGGGTCTCACTCTATCACACAGCTTGGTGTATAGTGGCATGATCCTACCTTACCACAGCCTCAATCTCCTGGGCTCAAGCAGTCCTCCCGCCTCGGTCTCCCTACATGCTGGATTACAGGCTTGAGCCACTGTGCCTAGCGCAGCTTGCCCATTTTTGAGTTGAGTTATATTCTCTACACTATAGATTATTTTATCTGTCTTAGAATTTCATGTAAATGGACTCAGAGATACTATTGTATCTAGCTGCTTTTACCCAGCATGTTTTTGAGCTTCATCCTTGGATATTATGTGTATCAGTGGTTCATTCCATCTTTATTGCTGCATAGTATTGCATTGTGTGGATATACCACCATTTGTTTATCCATTCTCCTGATGATGGACGTTTTGGTTGCTTCCACTGTTTAGCTACCATTAATAAAGCTGGTATGAACCTTTGCAGACAAGTCTTTGTACTATATATTCATTTCTTTTGAGATGCCTCAGAGTGGAATTTCTGGGTCATGTGGTAACTTGGTATTAGCCTTTTTATAAAATTGACAAATGTTTTTCCAAAGAGGTTGTGCCAGTTTATGTTCCCAATCTACTTGATATGAAAAGTTTTATTTGTTTCACTACTTGACATTGTTAACCTTTTCAATTTTTGCTACTGTAATAGGTGTGCAGTGGTATTTACCATATTGTGGTTTTAATTTTCATTCCTTTGATCACTAGAGTTGTTGAGTATCTTATTGGTCATTTGTATGTCTTGTGAATTTCTGTTTAAATCTTTTATCCATTTTTGAAAATCACTCTTAGAGTGAGTAGGTATTATTATTATTAGTTTTTAGTTGGAGTCTCACTCTATCACCCAGGCTGGAGTGCAGTGGCACGCTCACAGCCACCCCAGCCTCGACCTACTGGGCTCTGGCCATCCTTCCACCTCAGCCTTCCAAGTAGCTGGAACTACAGGCGCGCGCTACCACGCCCGGCTAATTTTTTTTTTTTTTTTTTAATTGTAGAAATGAGATCTCGCCAAGTCGCCCAGGTGGGTCTCGAACCCGTGGGCTCAGACAATCCACTTACCTCGGCCTCCCAAAGGCGCGGGATTACAGGCTGAGCCACTGAGCCTGGCGAAAATCATGTCTTCTAACTGTTCTTCTGTTTGATGGTTGTTTTGGCAATTATAGCTCTTTTGCATTTTCATATGCATTTTGAAATCAACTTATTTTTAGTACTACTGAAAATACTTGATTGGAGTTGTGTTGAATCTAGAAATTAATTTAGGAATAATAGACCTGTTAACAGTTTAGAATTGCAAATTCATGAGCACACATTAGCTCTCCATTAGGTCTTTTAAAATATATCCCAGTTGACTGGGTGGTGGCTATGCCTTGTAATCCCAGCACTTTGGGAGGTCACAGTGGGAGGATTGCTTGAGCCCAGGAGTTCAAGATCAGCCTGGGCAATATTGCAAGACCTCATCTCTACCAAATAAATAAATAAGTAGCAGGGTATGGTAGCTTGCGCCTATAGTCCCAGCTACTTGGGAGGCTGAGACAGGAGAATCACTTGAGCCCAGGAGATGGAGGCTGCAATAAGCCATGATGGCACTACTGCCTCAAGCCTGGATGACAAAGCAAGACCCTGTCTAAAAACAACAACAACAACAAAAAGATCCCAACAGTGTTTTATAGTCTTTAGTGTAGAGGTCTTGTACGTTTTTTGTTACATTTGTGCCTATATATTTTATACTGGTGTATATTGAATTTTATTCTTTTATTTTCCAGTTGTTCATTACTATGCTGGATCATGTTTGGGTGATAGCTGGACATCCTATTGAAAACTTGTAGAAATAATTTGACACTCTGGGTGCTAATATTTTATTTTATTATTATTATTATTATTTGAGTTGGAGTCTCACTCTGTCACCCAGGCTGGAGTGCAGTAGCACACTCACGGCCACCCCCTCATCAACCTGCTGGGCTCCGGTGGTCTTCCCTCCTCAGCCTTCCAAGTAGCCAGAACCACAGGTGCATGCTACCATGCCCATCTAACTTTTTGATTTACTGTAGAGATGAGGTCTCGCCAAGATGCCCGGACTGGTCTTGGACCCGCGGGCTCAGGCAATCCACTCACCTCGGCCTCCCAAAGTACTAGGATTGCAGGCTGAGCCACCGAGCCCAGCTGGTGCTAATATTTTCATGCAGACAGGATTTCATTTTGCTTTTGGCTGGCACTTAGACCTGATGCTGATCACTTTGTTCCCATCAGGAACTGAGATGATTCAAAGCTGGCCTGTAGTTCTCATGAGGGCTTGTCTGTTTCCTGTTTACTCTTCTTTTTAAGGTGTGGCCCTTCAGGGTCCAACTGAAATCCCGGGTTATCTACCAAAATCCCTCCTCTCTGATGGACCCCAAGTTCCAATTTGTGTCCTCCAAGCCTATGAAGATTGCCAGAAGCTATCTGAGCTTCTCACACCCCAACCACTGTGTTTTCTTTCAGATTTGGCATTTGCCTCAACGGAAAACGTTACATCAAATGGTTGGGTCACCTCTTTGTCTTCTCTCTCATAACTTGTCTAACCACCAGGTAGCTCTCTGATGCCTTCAAAACCTGTTTTCTTTATTTCTTTTTAAAAATCTTTTCCTACCGGGCACGGTGGCTCACACCTATAATCCCCAGCACTTTGGGAGGCCGAGGTGAGAGGATTGTCGGAGTCCACAGGTTCGAGACCAGCCTGGGCAACTTGGCGAGACCTTGTTTCTACAATAAATCAAAAAATTAGCTGGGCATGGTGGCACATACCTACTTGGAAGCCTGAGGCAGAAGGATCACCTGAGCCCAGCAGGTCGAGGCTGCGGTAGCCGTGAGCATGACATTGCACTCCAATCTGGGCGACAGAGTGAGATTTCGACTCAAAAAAAAAAAAAATCAGACCAGGCACAGTAGCTCAAGCCTGTAATCCCAGCACTTTGAAAGACCAAGGTAAGGGGACTGCTTGAGCCCATGGGTTCGAGACCAACTTGGGCAACTTGGCGAGACCTTGTTTCTATAATAAATCAAAAAACTAGCTGGGCATGGTGGCACATGCCTATAGTTCCAGCTATTTGGAAGGCTGAGACAGAAGGATCACCTGAGCCCAGCAGGTCGAGGCTGCAGTGGCCGTGAGTATGCCACTGCACTCCAACCTGGGCGATAGAGTGAGACTCTGACTCAAAAATAAAAATGTATATATATTTTTAATTTTATTTTTTTCTTCCTCATCTTTCTCAGCCACTTTCAGCAGGAGGGTCATTCTGAGATGACTAGTAAACCATTGCCAGGAGTGTCTTTCTCTCCTTCCTGTCCTTCTCCCCTCTTCTATCCCATCCTTCACTGGAATATAACTTTGTTCTGTGAGTCTCACTTACTGCTGTATTCTCAGAACCTACAAGAGTGACCAACACAGAATAGAAGTCAACGCATATTTGTTGGATTAAAGACTGCAAGGGTTAACATTTTATTTGAGAAGATGTTGGAAATTCAAAAGAAAATATCTTTCCTGTCATTTTCTCAAACCTAAGATATAGCATTTCTTGAGCATAATTAGGGTGAGTTTTGACCTAGAATTCAGAACCTTTAGAACTGTAGTCTCTCCCTTACTTTTTTTTAAGTTGTCAAGTAATAATTGTAGTCTCTTTCCTATTGATAGCTCTCCAAGATGTTAAGTAACATCTTTAGTCTTTATTTCTCCATTTGTAAATGATTTATTACTCTCTCAGCCATGGAACTAGTTTCAGTTGTTATTAAAATTAAAGAGCTATCAAGAGAAAAAAATTAAAACGATAACAGGCATTGGAATGAATGTTTTAAGCAAAAATTCAAAATACTTAGGTACAAATATAGGTTTATAATTTTTATTATAATAATTCTACCAACAAATACAAACAAGACAAATAGACTGTTATACTGTCTTAAGAGGTAAGGATGAAAAGTTGCATGAGGAATTACATTTTGCATAGTACATAAATGTTTACCTGTGTTTTCCCCTTCTCTTCCCTTTAGGGCCATTTTAAGTACCAGATCGAGTTATTTTGCTGCAATGTTGTGTGGATGTTGGGCTGAAAGCTCCCAGGAGTGTGTTACTCTTCACGGGTAAGCATAATTCTTACAAGGCAGCTTGACTGCAAATGATTGCAGCCAGTTCTTCATACTAAGCACTTTTTAGGAATCTAATTTCCCGATATGTTCAGTGAAATGTTTCTCAAGTAGTAGAATGTAATGAAGGACACTTTCTGAAACGAGAAGTAGTGAGGTGCACTTAGTAATGGGGCAGTGTGTTAATCTGCTTAGGTTCTTTTTTTTTGAGCTGGAGTCTCACTCCGTTGCCCAGGCTGGAGTGCCGTGGCCTACTCATGGCCAACACAGCCTCGACCTATTGGGCTCAGGTCATCCTTCTGCCTCAGCCTTCCAAGGAGCTGGAACTACAGGCACGCGCTACCATGCCCTGTTTACTTTTTGATTTATTGTAGAGTTGCGGTTTCACCAAGTTGCCCAGGCGGGTCTCGAACCCCTGAGCTCAGGCAATTTTCTTGCCTCAGCCTCCCAAAGTGCTGGGATTACAAACTGAGCCGCCATGCCCAGCCTGCTTAGTCTTCTATAACAAAATACCAAAAGTGGGTGGCTTAAACAAGAAAAATGTATTTTCTCACAGCTCTGGGGACCGAAAGTCTAAGACAAGGTGCCTGCAAGGTTGGTGTCTGATAAGGGCTGTCCCCTGCCTCCACGGTCTGGCTGTGTGCTCCCAAGCCCTTTCCTAGGTGCTAGCACTTGGAGAGAGAGCTATACAATCAAGGCCCACCCTCATGACTTCATTTAACCTTTATCACACTTCCTTAAAGGCTCCATTTCCAAATAGACCACACTGGGGGTTAGGGCTTCACCATATGAATTGGGGGGAACATTACCATTTAGCCTATAATAAGGAGTTTCTGATTAAGGAAGGCTTAAATGCTAGGCTAAAGAGTTTATTTTCTTGTGGGTAAAAAGAATGCATAGGCAGCTCTGCTGATGAGGTTTTTGTCACCACCATTGAAAAACAACTTGAAAGACTTACATATTCTACTGATAAGATCTCTTTCTTGGCTGGGCTCTGTGGCTCAGCCTGTAATCCCAGCACTTTGGAAGGCAAGTGGATTGCCTGAGCCTGAGCCCGCATATTCAAGACCAGCCCGGCCAACTTGGCAAGACCTTGTCTCTACAATAAATAAAAAATTAGCCACGCGTGGTAGCACATGTCTGTAGATCAAACTAGTTGGAAGGCTGAGGTGGAAGGATCACCGGAGCCCAGCAGGTCGATGCTGGGGTGGCCGTGGGTGTGCCACTACACTCCAGCCTGGGTGACAGAGTGAGACTCGGACTCAGAAAAAAAAAAGATCTTTTCTTTTTTTGTGGAGATGGTGGTCTCGCTATGCTGCCCAGGCTGGTCTCAAACTCCTGGGCTCAAGCAGTCCTCCCGCCTTGGCCTCTCAAAGTATTGGGATTACAGTCATGAGCCACCGTGCCTGGCCAATATCTCTTTCTTGATGATGAATTTAAAACATCTACTGAATATAGACAGGAAGAGGAGTACTAGCAGAAGCCAGCGTTTCTCTACGTGTGCCAATCTTAAGGATAATCACTTTTGTATAATTTTGAAAACTTGTCCAGGGACTATGTTTTAAACATTATTTTTAAAAACCATCAACTCACTCTCATTAGAACTGAATTCAGTAAAAATTTAAATGGAGAAATAATACTAGTTAAATTCAAAGTGCAACTTTTTGACATTCATTAAAAATGATGTGACTCTTTGTAGTGACACAAAGGTTAAAAGAAGTATGTGATTATGGGATCCTATTCTATGGCAGAAGAAAAAAAGTGATTTACAGAAAGCACATGTCTAATTTTTTCCTGGAAGAAATCTTAGTTTCTTGTAGGCTAGTGATAGTTTTACAACCCGATACCTATTATATATACCTTTTAAAACACCTTTTAAAAAAATTTTAAATCTCTTTTTATTTTTAATTTGAGGCAGAAGTCCCACTCTGTTGCCTAGGCTGATCTCGAACTCCTGGATTCAAGCGATCCTCCTACCTCCTCCTCCCAAAGTGCTGGGATTATAGGCATGAGCCACCATGACCAGCCTGGTCCTATTATATATACATTTGTTCTGTCTCCAAATATTCTATCTTCAGCAGTAACAATGTCAGCCTTACAATAACATTTTGTATTTTCTGCACTTTTTACACATTTACTATGCACTTCAGTTTTTAAAATCAGTCTTTGAGATAGAAAAGATTTACATATTACAGATGAGTATAAACAAGATCAGAAAAGTTAAATGTCTTCCCAGGGTCACCTGGTAAATAAGTGCTTATGCTGAATATAAATCACGTATTTATTGATCTTTAATTTAGAGTTCATTTCATGACAGCCACTGAAGAAATTCAAGTATTCCCATTAGTGTGTGTTCTTGAGCTAGCACGGTTCGCTTTTCTCCATTGTTTAAATCAGTGACTTTCAAACTTTGTCCCCTAGAATATTTTTTTTCTTTTGAGTTGGAGTCTCACTCTGTTGCCTAGGCTGGAGTGCAGTGGCACACTCGCGGCCACCCAAGCATCAACCTGCTAGGCTCTGGCGATCCTTCCACTTTAGCCTTCCAAGTTGCCGGAACTACAGGTGCATGCTACCACACCCAGCCAATTTTGTGATTTATTGTAGAGATGAGGTCTCACCAGGTTGCCCAGGCTGGTCTTCAACCCATGGGCTCAGGCAGTCCTTTCACCTCAGCCTCCCAAAGTGCTAGGATTACAGCCTCTGAGCCCAGCCGTCCCGTAGAATCTTAAAGCTCCTAGTGGGTACATTAGGGGGAATGTATGGCGTGGGCTTGGGATCTCAGGGGAAGCCCTTCAACTTTGATCTATTTATATAGTTCAAGATGACCCCTGAGTTTATCTAGAGGAATAAAGGTAAGGGGAATCTTTATTTTTTTTCCAGTTTTCCTTAATCACCTCTCATAAGCTGATAAGATAAAACATTCAAGCACCCAGACTTTGAAAGGTGAAGTCTATTTATTAAGAGGTCAGTGGACAAGAACGGAATAGTAGCATCAACAACAGGTACCTACTCCCTCACCTGTAATTTTCCATCATTAGTGTACAATGGCAGTGATAGATAAATATCTCCTCTTGCAGTATGGCTTGACCAGCTTTAGTAGCTTGTTCAAGGGAAGGCCACATAGAAGTAGCCAAATCAGTTTCAAAGTGTCATCCAAATAAGTAGACTGTGCATTGTGCGAGTGCCAGCCATGCCCAGGCTCACTCTTCTCTCACTATTGTCCCTTCCCATCTTTCGTGGCAAGCAAGTTTTGCTTCTCACTGGCTCATCTTACACCGAGCTGCTGTGTTAGTGGCAGGGGGACCTACTTTCCATTGGCTTATTCTCTCCTAATGCTAATGCACTGGAAATGAGAATACACGTTTTTGTTGCTGTTGTTCAACTCCTTTATCTTTTTTCTTTTTCTTTTCTTTTTTGAGTTGGAGTCTCACTCCATCGCCCAGGCTGGAGTGCAGTGGCACACTCATGACCATCACAGCCTCAACCTGCTGGGCTCAGGCGATTCTTCTACCTCAGCTTCCCAAGTAGCTGGAATTACAAGTACATGCTACCATGCCCGGCTAATTTTTTGATTCATCATGGAGATGAGGTCTCGCCAAGTTGCCCAGGCTGGTCTCGAACCCATGGGCTCAGGCAGTCCTCTCACCCCGGCCTCCCAAAGTGCTGGGATTACAGGCTTAAGCCACTGTGCCCAGCTAACTCCTTTATCTTGCTTATGAAACAAAAAAGAAAGTATCACCTGATAGATCCATGATTTTGTCTACATCTTTTATTATCATCACACAAGGCTATGCTGTTTGACCTTTTCCTGTTGTATCATGTTTCAAATTGATTGTGTCAAACTGCCATCTAAAATATTATTAGTTTTGTGACATATAAAGCCATTGGAAGGTTAAAAGGGATTGAGAAATTTTGCTTTTTTAAAAAAATTCAAAAAAAATTTTTTTTAATTAGAGTCTGATTCAGTTGCCCAGGCTGGAGGGCAGTGGCACAATCACAGCCACTCCAGCCTTGACCTGCTGGACGTAGGCGATTTTTCCACCTCAGTCTTCCAAGTAGCTGGAACCACAGACGTGCACTACCACACCTGGCTAATTTTTTTTTTAACTTTTACTTTTTTTACTTTAAAGATGTAGGGTACAATTCAGGGGTAGTTACACAAATGTTCATTATGTAGGTACCCTTGTTGATGAGGTGTGCCCCATCTCCCCCAGCAGATTCCCACTACTGCCAATACCACCTCCCTCTGCCCCCACCCCGGCAGTTTCCTGCTACTGCCAATATTTTTCTTATAGTATTATGATAACTGTTCAAGGTCTGCTTATGAGTAAGAACATGTGATACTCAGTTCTTTGTTTCTGTGATAGATCGCTCAGCATTATAGACTCTAAGTCTATCTAGGTTGCTGTGAAGTTCATGATTTTGTCCTTCCTTAGGGTTGCATAATATTCCATCATGTAGATGTACCATATTTTTTTCATCCGGTCCTCTTTCAATGGGCAGCACAGTTGGTTCCATATTCTTGCTATTGTGAGCAATGCTGCAGTAAACATACATGTGCAGGTATCTTTTTCATAGAGTGATTTGAGATCTCCCGGTTATATTCCCAGTATGGGGATTGTGGGGTTGTATGGAAGGTTGATTTTTAGATCTTTTAGGAATCGCCACACTGTTTTCCACAGAGTCTGTACTAGTTTACACTCCCACCAACAGTGTAGAAGCGTTCTCTTTTTGCCACATCCTCTCCAGCATCTGTTGTTTTTTGATGATACCCATCCTGACTGGAGTCAGGTGGCATCTCAGTGTGGTTTTAATTTGTGTTTCTTTGGTTACTAGTGAGGCTGAGCATTTTTTCATGTATCTGTTGGCAGCTCGTATGCCTTCTTTTGAGAAGTGCCTGTTCATATCTCTTGCCCACTTTGTAATGGGACTGTTTGTTTTTTTTCTTTTCGGCACATTTGAGTTCCTTGTAGATCCTAGATGTTAGGCCTTTGTCA